GCAAAAAGTACATATTTTTCCATACTCTCAGAATGACCATTGTTTACTGTCTCACCGAAGGCTGACACTTCTTCCCTTGAGGTTACAACTTCAAAAAGCATTTTAGCATTATTAAACTGTCAGGTCAAGGTAGCATCCCTCCTTCTACTCCAGTCTCTACTTGAAGCATTTACGAGCTTTTAGAAACAATATATGAATATATCTGTACTGTACTGTGTTGTGTTAGCAAAGCAAACAAACTAAATGATCACAACTATCCTTCCTCTGACCTTCTTTAGCTGAAATAGTCCTGTGGCTTCTCTGAGACAATATGTGGAGATACTTATCCCTATAAAAAAAAATTTGGTTTCTTTGTTTTGGCATGTCTGACTGGGATTTTGGAATTTTCTCCCTCTCATTTTCAGTTGTCTCACACTGAGGCTCTGTACACTCTCAGAAGGTCCAAGGGAACAAGCATGGAAACAGAGCATTATCTGAGAAATACTTGTGGCTGCCGTTGAGATGATCATTTAACACAGAAAATGCAATTGCACTGCTCTTCTGCCTAGTTAAAGCACATTGCAGTTTTCCAGAACTTGTGTAAATGACATGAAAGTACCATCAATGCACTTATGTCATGTGCAAACTATACTTCTCTTTCATGATGTCCCTACAGGAGGCCCAATATAGTAGAGAGAGAAAAAAAAAAAAACAAAGAAAAAACCCCCTGTGCTATTCCAATGATTTAAACCCTGTTAAAATCAAACGACAATTTTGGATCAACCTCAGGATTCCCTAGATAAAGCTTCAGAGCTTCTTTCTGTGTCATGTGCATCAGTGATCAGTGGAGTGTGTTTTAAGATCACACAGTGTAGCATGAGCTTAAAACACATAACATACCTGGCTGAATATATTTAATAACTCTTAATAAATTTCCAGAGTTTTTTTGATGGGCTTTCCTCAGCTTAGAGGTACCATCATGTTTTTAAGAACTGCAATTCATTAAAATTTCTAACTTTTGCAATCAAAGTGTAGAGTCTCATCTTTCTAAGGTACTTCTGCAGATTGCTTCTGTTCTTCTTTACTTTATTCAGTTACTCCCACACTTTTCCCCATTTCTCCTCCTGGTGATTAAAAACTGCTCATTCCACATCTCAGAGATGCTCTTCATTCTCTGCATGATCCATTACCCCTTTTAGCATGCCCAGTCTATGCCCACTGCACATAATTTCCTAGCTTTTGCAATAAAAACTCACACCTCAGTTGTCTCCATTGCCTCTGTTCAGATCTTTTCTCTGTACTACAAATTTTTATGCTTCCTCCACCTACCTTTTTTTTCCTTTACGCCTTTTGATAATCCTTATTCTTTCTCTTGCTACTTTGATTTCTTCTATCTTTTCTAGCTTCATCCCTTCTGCTTACAATCTCACTCTCCCATAATTTTTCTTTTTGCTGTCACTCTCTTTTACAACTTCTTTTTCCTTCCACTCCACCTTCAAGGTTTTGGAGTGTGCTGTCACTTATTCCTTCTGCCTTTGCCACCTACCTTAATTACATACTGTGCATATACCTATAAAAATATACAGAAAAATAACTTTTAAAAACAACAAACTGCAAAGGTTGACCAGAAAATTTCTCAACCAATATATCCCATTCCCAACTTTACAAGTTATGTTGGAAAGTCCATTGCTACCCTCTTCAAAATGGCGTCTTACAAGTACACTTTGTCTTTATGAGGAAAAGGCAGCCAAGTAGGTACCCAGTACAACCTTGTCCGTTGTCTTTCTCTGAAGGAGGGGAGAAAAAACCCAAACCCTACCATATTTTCAGTAAATTACATGGGGTTTTAAGCTTGCAATTTCAGTTACTCAGACAGAATAAAATCCTTAGGAAGCCTGAAATACTGCTTAATAGTATTAGGCTGAATCAGCAGCACTTATTGAAGTATTTTGACAATTTTAAAGATACATACATCAAACAATACCTTTTATACTGAAACGCTACTTATTTGGTATTCAGAGTTCGCCATGAAGAATACCAGAGCATTCACTTCCCAAACACATGGGTACAAAAAAATACAGCCAAGATCGTTCAGGGTAAAGTCCAAACGAAATTTTTTTCAGAACTGTAATTTAGTCAAAGTTGCACTTGTTAACACACCAGATTTTCAAAAAATCTTTTTATAGTTGCTGCCTGCTGTCCTGACTTGTCCATGTGCCTTCTGTCCAAGCCTTGATGAATCAAAGCAGAGCTTTTTCAAACAAGGAGCATCAGAGAACATCAGAACTGAAAAACCCCATACTTGGCCTCTGCATTAAATGAGATAGTTGTATCTCAGTACCACCACTTCAGAGGGATCACTTCCCCAGCTACAGATTAATTCTTCATTTCCTAGGGGCAGCTTATTCATCTGCTAAACTCGTAATTATTATCGTTGCCAGAACATCCCCCTTTTCCCCTTGCACACAGACAAATGCACAAATCATCCAACTTAAGGAGGTACTTAAAGCCAGAGATTAAATTAAGCTGGGGCTGGCTTGCCAACATTTTACAAACAAATATTAAAAAAGAAATTCCAAGGAGATGTTTTTTTTTTTAAATAACACAAATAAAGCGAAAGTCCTCTGATCTTTTAAGTGCAGAGCCATATAAAAAGAGAAGAGGTCATGCACTGATCACATCATAATCAGACAGAAGTTAAATATTAACTTTTTTTTTCTTATTCATATTTTCACATTTTTCCTTATTCAGCTTATACATAAAACTCTTAGGTCAGCATTCTCCTGAAGTTGCAGCTTTAATCACTAAGTAAAAGCAGAATATTTGTATTACATTATTACATTACATTAACTTACTAGATTTCTGTCTTTTAAAATTTAAAATTACGGTAGTGAAAACATTCCAAATTCTTCCCTCCATGCCCTCTGCAAAAAAAGGAATAGAGAACAACATGACAAAGGAATGACAATGGGTAAAAATACGGTCTTTTTACCTTGTTTTTTTCTTCAGCCTTTGCAGCCTGTCTACAAACTGGATGCCAAATGGATGTACCTGGAAAGTAAATTTAAAGTTCTGCTTAATTCAGTTCCCCAATAAGAACCTTATTAAACCTTCCTATAAGGTTTTATAAGATACAGCATACTGACTGATTCCACTGCAGTCACTATTTCATATGTACTTTCAAAGCTAAACCTGACAACTTCTCAATAGCTGTAAGCCTGATCATATACATTTTAAAGACAAGGTGCATTTCAGAAAGCTACATGTCCTTCAACATGTGAGATCAATATCAAAACCTGAGCCCTAAGAAATGTGATATGGAATCTCTGGAGTTCCTCCAGCCCAACCTCCTGCTCAGAGCAGGTCCCATTACAGCAAGCAGCTCAGGGCTATGCCCTGTTGGGTTCTGCTTGTCTCCAAGGATGGGCATCCCACAGCATCTCTGGGCAATCTGTTCCACTCCCATGGTAATTTTTTTTTTTCCTTACATGTAGTTAGGATTTCCTGTACTCTTGTTATACATATTCTTATAATAGTCCGGCCCAGGTCATACAAAGTGTGATCATACTTTGATGGGATGAATAGTATTATGGATTTTAACACTAGCTGAAAACCCAGTCCTTCTGAATTATGCACTGTACTGATCTTGCATTTTCTGTATGTTTGTCTCTCATATACCAAATACTAAGGGGAATTCAGGGGAACATACATCCTGGAGGAATCAGAAAACAGAGAATGAACCAATTCTCTACTGCATGTAAGTATTGAAGAGAGGATTATGAACTCCAGAGATACAAGTAAACATTAAGTATGAGAAAGAAACTTAATAATTATTTTGCACTAGTCATAAAGGAAAAAAAAAAAACTTTCAAAAAGTTCAACAGCGTGTTCAATAGTCAGTGTTCAATGTTCCAATTCAGTTGAAGCGGAATGTGCTTAACTATATAAAATAAAAGAATTATTTGTAAATTTTAATAGTAAAAAGGAACCTTTATGTTTATGTCAGTCTGAGCTCAGACAAGACATAAACTAAAGCTCCACATAGTTAAATAATGTGAGTGTACCACAGCTTCTGCCTGACTAAATGGGAAGTTGAGAACCTTTGTTATAAGTATTTAATGTTTATATTGGGTGGAGAGCATCAAGAAGAGTTATTAGAAATGCTTTGTTTTCACAGCAGTTTGATAGTTTTCTAACCAGTGGATTTTGGAAACAAGATAGAAACACAAAGTCTACTTCCCAGAAGACAGATGGAGATCATTAGAATTTATTTCACAAAAATAATCCAGATGAACACAGACTAAAGCAGTAAAAGACTATCTGTAAGTACAAACTGGATAAATTATGTTTACTAAGTCGCTGAAGTTTTTTGGGACTGAACCACTATGAAACATCTTTATAGTACCTTTAAATTCAATGCTAATTTATCTTCCAATTACGAGTGGGTCTGATCTCGCCCACTGAAAGCATATGTCCCAACCGCTGCATAAGTTGATGTAAATCTTCCCAATGGTTTTAAGAAGTGTTTAGATCAACCCTTTTTTTATTACTCCTATCTGTGGTCAAGCAAAACTGGCTGGGAAACTTTTTCATACAGAAGAAAAAGAGTCTATTCACTGAAAAGTCATCTGCTGGATAACCAGTGAAAGCTCAGTTCCTGCTAAGGAACATGCAACACCAAAAGGAACCTTACGGTAGTTTATTAAGAAGATGAAGAACAAGTTACTAAACCCTGGGCTCTGATATTTTTTGTTATCTAACACATCGGGTCAAGCAGTCCAAATACCTAATCACAGATCTTTCATGAAATTAACACCAGCTTCTATCAGAAACTGCTCTTCATGTGAAGATAAAAAGTGAAAGTGTATGATAGTAAGCTGGTATGACTGCTTCATGAATCAGAAAATAAAGTAAGATGGGTCCAAATTAACAGGACCTGTGTACTTTGTGATTATTTGAACTAAAAAACAGCACAAAACCTAACAAATATCCACCCTTATAACAAACTGAACTTAAAAAGAAGATTCACTTTCAATCCAGTTTCAGAGGGTTTGAAATCTAGAAACAAATTTGTAGTTTGATATCTTTTTTTTAAGCATTGATTTCCTAGGGGATTTTAGTACTGCTAAGCTACTTTGCAATTGGAAAAACCACAGAATTTTCTGGCTCCTGAGGGAGAATCCATGAACACAGACAAGGATCATTATGTCCTTTAATGAGCTAGTTCTTGTTGCAAACCAAAGTGACAATAAGTCTGTCATTTTAAATAACGTACTAAATTATAATTAGATCTTACTGAGACCACTGTTGTTTTTTAAATAAAGTCTAACTCTTCCAACTTAATGAATGATTTCAAAGTATGCTTCTAGAAAACTGTGGACAATTGCAAAGTTGTAATACAGATCTGGGCAAGCATGTGATGTTAGGATAATACACCAGCCTTGCAGTTCCCACATGCTACTGAGTTCCTCTTTTCTGTTTTCCTTTGAAAAGATACTGCCAGTCAAAGACACAGGCAAAACCCTTCATTTTCTCTGGTGCCTGACCTTGTATTTAACTGTGTAGATACTTCTTTCATCAGTTTAGTACAGCTAAAAATTGCTCCATATGAAATACAGATTTTAGCTCGTACCTATGTTAAAGAACTTTTTTTTTTTTCATTGAATAAATCATTGTGCAAGTCCTTCTCTACTACCACTGAAATTCCCTGACAAGAAACACTGAATTTCTCCTGTACCAGCTTATGGATGCATAAGATATACACATATTATGTGGTAAGGGCTTCAGCTCCACGGCATCCTCTTCTCCATCCTCCGAGGACACTTAGGTCTGACTGAGGGGAATCCAGGTAAGGAACTTCAGATTTTCTCCTCATACTCAAATGGGCAATGGGTACAGAACTGGTCTTAGGACTGCAAGAGCAGCTTTAGGGAGCCTGCTGTCCTGTCCGTGTGTTAACATTCATCTGGACCATTTATCAGTGTAGAAAAATCACATTTTTTTAGTAAACAGAAAATTTTATAATCTTCACTGTCAAGTAGTTCCATCTGCAAGAAATAACTGCTACAACTCATCCTTTCTGTGATTCACACTGGCTATTGGATTTGAACTGAGAGAGAAGTAATAGGTGAGTAAGAAGCAACAAGGGTTTGTTTTTGCTTTCCCTTAGCCTACACATTGCATTCTTCACTTTCTTTGGTAGTTATGAAGTGAGAATATGTACAAAACAGTTCAGCCCTGCTAGTCGGTATGGGCAAGAGGGCCATGCTGACAAGTGTAACTGGTTTGGGTTTTGTTTGTTTGGTTTTGTTTTTACCTTGAAGATACATTTCTTCTCCTTCTGCAAACATCTGACTGCACCTGACACATCGTGCGCACGTTGGGTGGTAATGTTTTTCTCCTGCCTGTTTGGGAAAAAAGGTACAGATGATTAAGTACACTGATCAATTTAGCAGCTTCACTATGAGGAGTTTTTCTTTCATCCTCTAGAATATGACTAATGGGAGTAAATTAGTTAATGCAAATTAGTTCAACAATCTCCTACAACCACAATACTTATTTTCTTATAGACAATTAATGATTTAAAACATAATTTTTGTCTTGCCTACACAAAAAAAAAGTTAATGTGCAATAGTTAAGTCTCTGAATTTACAGAATGGAATCAATCTTATATTGAGAACACATTTTCACTGTAAACAACTATACTGTGCACCAAGTGCAAGGTAGGTTAGGACTCACCTGCACAAGGAAGTTGGGAAGTCATAACCTTGAGCACGGATTTGCAACTCAACTGTATGTTTGTCATGATCCCACTGAATATATAATCTTAATGCACAGCAAGAACCATCTTGTGCAAGGAACGTTTGTATCTGCTTTGAAACTATCTTGCAGGTAATGGGTACTAAAGGGTTTCCATGAGGAATGTGTGTGGTGTCCCTCCAGGACTGTAAGTTCAGAGCTGACAATTTTGGGTACTGTGTGTTAACTCCCTCACACAGACAAGCCAGGAGCTTTGCCAGTTGTTCTGAGATTAATCCACATAATTTAATACCATTCTTTTAATTATTTGGAGTCTTAAATTTGCTCAGAGCAGCTTAGTAACTCATTGATTTTCATAAATTTAAATCTCCAATTACCTTATAACCCCATTAATTAAAGCTTCACCATTGACCTCGGTGTGTTTATCAAGAGGAGACTTCCACCTGCTATAAAGGAGCACGGGCTTGTCTATGTCAGAACACCAATGTGTGACACAGACAAGGGTGAAGTTAACCTCAAACGACTACCAGGAAAAAAAGACAAGATTCTTGGATCGAGGGATTTCTGCAGGACTCAATTTGGCCAAAATTCAATTCTATGGCTCACTGTGGGCAAACTCATTAGCTCTGGTTCCCACAGGCAAGGACACCAGCAACACAAGGCAATGTTGGCTTGAGCCAGCGACAAAAACAGCAGTCAGGGAGTTGTGCTCTTCTAAGTCAACGACACTGGCCAGCCTCTCCAAACTGCACCCCCACCCCATCTTTCAGGTGACACTCACAAAACACAGTTCAACAGCCCAAAGGCAGCTCTTGCAGATGCTCCCAGCACTCCTCACTCTTCAAAACCCCTACAGAACTGAAAGCCGAATTTGGCATCTCCTTCCTCCTCTTTGACCCCACACTCTTCTGTGCTAGACAGAATGGCCCATTGTTCAAGTGGCTTAAGGTCAATGTCACTTCCATTATGAACAAAAGCCTGGAGACCAAGTAACTCTAAAACTTAGAGCTAAATTAAACTGAGTTTAAGTTAAAGCCAAGCTAAGTCTGACTTCAATAGAAAGGCTCCCGAAGTTAAAAATAAGCAAATTTTGGTCCATGTAGATTGTGTCATAACCTGCTCATCTGAAAAAGGTTGAAAGTGCTACTAGGATTGTGTGTGCCTTTAAGGAACTATAAAGTATCGCCCCACTGTCTTCAGCATGTGAATATGCTCTCACAGCATTGCACTGTAAATTCCCCTTCTATCAATCTAGAAATTTAACACTGCTACTACAGAGACGACTTGTCTTACTCTTTTTCATTGACTGAATGTCAAAGCTTTCAGAGATACTAAAGAACATAATTTGCTGCACTTTAAATCACCCATAAGGAAGAGCAACACATCACATCAGAACTGCCATTTTGAAAACAGCTTTGTTTCAGTTCATGTTTCTTTTTATGGTGTCATTTGTGCACACTGCTGAGTGATTTTTGCAATTTCAGACATGGAAGATGTCTGAAGAACTTCTAACTGTGCCAACACCTTAAAGTATCAGACCATGAAGTACCAGTATTTGGCTTAAACCCCAGGTTTAAAATTGCTTGCCTAAGTGCAGGTGTTTAAGCACAGAAGGGTATCTAACTATCACCAGATAAAGTTAGGTTTGCAATATGAAGCTGAAAAGAAATATCATTTCCTCTAGATTTGTTCTGCACAAACATCGCTAACGCAATGCATAGCCTCAATAACTCAATTGATTTAGCACAGCTGATACAATTCCCAGGGTAACACTCTCTACCGGAATTCAATTAGTCCTTTGCTAAAATAAGCTGTCAGAACATATTCTCAGATAACCTGCATGCACCACAGAATAAAATGTATTACGTCAAATTTAACAGTGCAACCAAATACATCATTTTAATTCACTCTGTATAGGAAAGTAATATCAACTAGCTGTAGAATGACACAAAGAGACCTCTTTTATTAGATATAACAGAAAAATCAGGGGAGAAAGGTGTAGTGATCCTTTTGCTGATGATCACACCAGGATAATTCCAATGGACATTGCATAATTACCTCTGAATTAAAATGGGACATTGTCAAAATTCTCATACAACTCTAAGTGCTGACAGTGGTTTTTGTTCCCTCCTTTTAGCATTTTTGTATTTTGTCCCTCTTCTAGCCAAAGCATAGAAGACAAGACACAGCAGACTCTTCATCACTAAGTATTTAAAACAGATCACACCATCTTTGTAAATGAGTGACAACAGCTCAATCTGTGGCTAGGGACTTGATGCAGGAATTAAGTAATAATATTCCCTGGTATGTTTATACAGTTAGCCTGATTAGATACCATAAATTATATCAAAACCTAGGACCTGGGTGTGTTTGGTCTCAATGTGAATCATAACCTCACCAGGGTATGTGCCAAGGAGGCTTTCATCAGTGGCCCTTTCTCCTCTCTCTTCAAACTATTTCAGAGGCTTCATCTCATAGATGAACAATCAGTTCCAGCAGAGCCCAGAAATTTTATAAGCTTAGGGCAGCAACTGTTTTATGTTTTCGGTTTAGTTGTAATGATGGCCTCATTATTTTTTCTTTTCTTAGTTATATTGACGTGAGGCAGTTTAATGCAGCAAACAAATTCCTAACCATATGGTTACTTCTTTTCACAGTTTGAAAGCTTAATTTGACAGATTGTTGTTTCAGTGTTCAATAAAATATCAACACACACATAGCACAGAAGAAGTGACATTCATCTCTGAGATCTCTTATGGTTCAAGTGGTAGATTGTAAGAAACCTTCTCAATATCCTACATTTGCTTCAAGGCTGCACCAGGTCTTTGTGCCCAGGTAACCAGATGTGAAGACAGTATTATTATGAAGATCAATTCAAAGATTAATTCTCAACCAAGATTTACTCCAACCTGAATAGCAAAGCGTGTCCTTAGCAGCACAGATAAACTATTATGAATTATTTCATTCCCTTTAGGTATGAGGGACTGCTTTGAACGGTGAATCTCCTCTGCACAGCAGGCAGAGCCATTCTGGGCTGAGTCAATGTGAGGAACATCCTCCTAGTGGAACCGAGGACCTCCTTGCACTCCCTGCCCCAACCATGGCGGGCACCGCAGTGTTGCTATCTGTCCCACAGCACATCAAGTACATCCATGCTTCATTTAAAACAGGACCAGAAAGTTCTGCAACCACCTTTTCTCATTTCTCCTAACTTCAGAGCTTGAACTAGAAGAACAAACGTGATGCAACAAATGTGAATCACATCATTTAATGCAAAATTTGAAGACAGTAAGGATTGTTATCATAAAGTCTGTAGAACAGTATGAACACCAACAGTATGAAACACGCAATGCTAGCAAAACTGGAGTAATTCATACCGAAAGGAATAACCTTAACTAGTTCAGGTAGGGTTTTAAAATAGCTGTCATCACTCAAGAAAAAGATACTACATTATTGCAGACAGCTCAGCAAAAACCTCTGCTCATTCTCTGGCTATGGCTGCAGTAACTGATGAAGTGGCAGAATATATAAAAGATGATATGTATAATAATTGTAACTCTGTCACAATGATATTGCTCATCTGGCATCTCATGCCGTTGCTAGGAGTGTGAGTGATGTTATTTTTTACTGCAGTCGATGAGTGACAACCGCTTATGGATTGACACATGAAGGATTGAACCAGAGCAGCCTAAAGTTCAAAGTGTGAGCTTGGTCCTGGAAAAAAGACTCGAGATTTCTGACGACTCTCTCACCAGTAAAGTCTAAGTACATCCTATCTCACTGCATTGCTCAGTGAAGTAGCTAGTAAAGGGAAGAAAGAAAGTAGGCAAAATCATTTAATGTATTAAATAAGTCCATAACTATTTGGTTCCTTTCCTGAGAATGAAAAAGTTTTCAGTAAAATTTTTCCTGTAAAAATAAAAATAATAATAATTTTTAAAATCTATGTTGTTATCAAAATGCACAGTGGTAAATGACATCTTTTACTCCTGGGAGTAAAGAGTTTGTGGAAGTGAGAAAAGGTCAGACTGCTGCAATGATTCAATCACATCAAAGCATATTTTCCATTTTAAGGGCATAATACAATATAGGTTGCTGTAATAGCGCATTATTACCACTGAGTGACATTACTACTACTGAGGTAGGCCCAAATCCTGCAGTCCTTATACTCTACAAATCTCCAAATGATGTCCTAACTGTATCCTATCCTGAGCAAAGATAATGCAAGTTGGCCTCCTAAAGCCTGAGCCTGCTGGCATGCCAAGGCATGGTGCAGTCGCATGACCCAGAAACAAAGCCCACAGAAGACTGGTATAAAGCATTCTTAGTTAAAAGCTTTTCACATGGAACAAATCTGTTGGAGAGTTGGGTCATCACAAGACAAGCACCTGTTCAAGCAAAGTGAAACAGAATAAAGAACAAAACCACCGACCATCAATAAGCCTTTCTATCAGGCTGCTTCTCACCCTGAAATGAAGGACTAAAGCTCTTATGAAAGACATATGACTTGACTGCTGCTACCTGTTTAAGTGGAATGGAATCACTAATTGTTTGGAATGGGAAGGGGAAAAATACTTAGCTACTGTAGTGACGGGCAGAAGTTTAAAACATCAATTAGACAAGAAATTATTCTCTTTTCTATACA